GCGAGGGCGGCTCACTTTCGGCTCTGCGACCTGACGTCTCTGAGGCGCGATGCGAAAGGTGGTCTTGGTCACCGGGGCAAGCAGGTGAGGACTCCCGGGCGGCCGCGGCGGCGGGACAGGCCCCGAGGGCCCGGGTGCCCTTCTTTTCTGTCCTCCTGGGCTCCGAACCGGGGGGAGGCAGCGCGGGCGCGCGTGGGTGACTCCGCTCCGTGTCCGGTCCCCAGCGGCGTCGGCCGGGCCCTCTGCCAGCGGCTGCTGCAGGAGGACGACGGGCTCCACCTGTGCCTGGCCTGCAGGAACCCGGACAGGGCCGAGGCCGCCCGCGCCGCGCTGCTGGCCGCCTGCCCCTCCGCCCAGATCACCGCCGTGCAGGTGGACGTCAGCGACCTGCGCTCCGTGCTCCGGGCCGCCGCGGAGCTCAGGCGCAGGTGGGTCTCTGGCGCGGGCTTTCGGTGGGACCGCGTCACAGCCGCGGCCGCGGTGGAAGGCGTTTGGTCAGGAGGCGTTTTCATCCGAATCCCGGGTGTTTCCTGGAGGTTGACACACGAGCGCGCCTTGATGTGGCTTAATCGTGACACCGCGCGACAGTGATGCCTTGACACCTACGTACATTTCCCGCATCTTCCTGGCCCGAAGGAGGTCGGGCAGGGAGTGGCTGTAACAAGTGAAGAGACTCAGGAGTGAACATGAGGGCGTGCCCAGAAATGCCATGGGACTTGGCACTGCCTGCGTGGGCCCCAGAACCCAGGTCTCCTCCCTGTTTTAATCAGGGAAGACATCTAGTTATCATAAATTAGTCATTTAGCATTTGGTAAGAGGTTTAGTGACTTAGCCCAAATCTAAGGCGGCGAGGCTGTGGGGTCGGGGGCAGCTATCCTGGCCACGCAGTGCTGCCCTCAGGACGGCACCTTGGGGTGGGTGGTGTTATCCAGATGCAGGCCCAAGGGAGGCGGGGCCAGAAGGAGTATCAATGGGGACATTTGACCTTGCATCCCATGTGGCTCCCCAAATTCTGCTGGAAGCCACCATGGAGGAGCACTCTCGTGACTGACATGTCCTCGCAGGTTCCAGAGACTGGACTGTGTCTACCTGAACGCCGGCATCATGCCCCAGCCACAGCTGGACGTCAGCGCGCTGCTCTTGGGCTTGTTTTCAAGGTGGTTGCCGTCCCCTAGACGGACCGATGAGAAGGGAAGGGTTTGTTGCCCGGGTGTGTTAGGTTTGGGGGCCACGGGGGTGTCAAGAACAGCGAAGACCCCAGGGAAGCATGGCAGCCCCATCGTGAGCAGCATTTATCGCCGTGGGGACGGCCGCCCGTCATGGCTCCGCGGTGTGCTAGGTCTGATGGTGGCCGTGAGCAGGGCCATCTCAGGATGAAGTGGGTTGTGAGTAGGACTCCAGGACCCGGGAAGGCGGCTTCAGAGGCACTGCCCGCTCCGTGTCAGCGTCCCGAGCCCCAGGCGTGGGGAGTGCAGGGAACCCAGTCCTGGGCGTTGTCCATCCACTCGGGGCGTGGCTTCCAGACTCCCAGGCTGCAGGGAGATAAATCTTGTCTGGTGACCCAGTACCCTTACACACAGGCATCCCCCTCCTCCCCGCACGCTCCTGCTGTGCTCCTCTTCCGCTGTATACACACACGCATGTACACACACATACACGCAGAGGCATGCGTGCACATATGCACACAATACATGCACACATGCATGTGCACACATACCTACACGCAGATGCATGCATGCACACGTGCACACAATACGTGCATGTGCACGCACATGCACACAGATGCACACACGCACTTTAGGGACATACAATGCCCACGTGCATACACTCAATGCACACACACGTACACACACGCTAGAGATGCATCACATTCGTGCACATACACACGCATGCACACACAATGCATGCACACATGCAAACATGCACACACAGACGGTCCCCACAGACCTTGATGTCACAGGGAACCACCGTGTCAGTATGGGCGATGCTCCATGAGTGCCCAGTAAGAAGACGGGCCCTCTGACTGCTGGGCCAGGCGTTAAGCCTGGGTCTGTGCGGTGACCCTCCCTGGCACAGCTGTCCCTGGAGATGCCCACTCATACCTTGACCTGGGAGAGGCGGGGGAGTTTCAGCAGGTTCAAGAGACTCGGGCTCCTGTTGTCAGTGTGGGCTATGCACGTTGGGGCCCCTGTGACTTGGCAGAGGGAGCACTTCTGCACCTTACTGAACACTGTCACTGACTCTGAGGAAGAGGTACTTTTACCCCTGTCGTCACCGAGTCCAGGAAAGGCGGCGTGGGCAGGGCGGCTAGCAGGGCGTCTCTAGTGTTGTTAGTTGGAAAAGCTCTTCAAAGTCATGCAGTTGTCTCCTGTCCTCTCAGAAAGGTGATCCACATGCTCTGCACAGCTGAGGGACTCCTGACCCAGCACGACAAGGTCACCGCCGACGGACTCCAGGAGGTATTCGCCACCAACGTCTTCGGCCACTTCCTCCTGGTAAAGTGTCAATAAGCCAGCACTTAGTGCGGGTCCCGAAGGCTTGCCTGGGCACCCCGCTGTGACGCTCAGCAGGCACGGCCGGCACTCAGTCTCAGGACTGAGACGGTCACCCTGCGCCTGAAAACGTCACTTCCCTACAGGAGCCTGTCCTGTACACATGTGTCTCTTGTCATCGGGAGGAAGTGGGGAGAACGCCCAGGCTCCGTGGAAACCGTGCAGGGACCGAGGGAGGCGGTCCTCGGGGGCCCGGGCCTCCCACACGCCCACTTCCTCCAGGGTGCATTAGCCACATGCCTCGTTTGGGGGGTTCTGCCCAGGGATTCGTCTGTTCTCCGTCTAATTCTTCATTCGTTCATTTACTTATCGGTCAGTTATACCTCGGTGAAGCTGAAAAAGTCGTTTATTATGTCCGTGTGGACTCGGCTGTGTGTTTCTTGCTTTGAGTTACAAATATGGCTTCATTTTCTTAGGCTGTTTCAGTTAGGTGCCGTGTGTCTCTGATGTCCTTGTCAGGACAAGTCCCTGGTTTCGTTGTGAGCCGTCCTTCCTGGCAGTACCAGGCGCTTCGGGCTCAGTGTGTATATGTCCTGCCTGGGAGACCTGTTCCCTTTCATCTGAGGTGACATCAGACACCAAAGTCTGTGTGCTCGTTGCTGTCGAGACTCCCTCTCAGCCCACAGAGCAGGGCGCGCACGCGTGCGTACTCACGTTTGTACGTGGCCGTTCCTGCCTCGATTCGGGTAAAAGGAGGCCGTCCCGATGTTCCCAGCCATCACTGGGCCCCGGGTCATTCGGGGCCCCCCTTGCTTACCCGTGACACTCCAGCCTCACCCTGACAGCAGCACTGTGTCGGATGCCCTCTGTCCTCACCCTGGTGGGCCCCGGCAGTTTCCGCCCCGCTCCTCGTGCAGGTCCGGGAGCTGGAACCTCTGCTCTGCCGCGGCGACGGCCCGGCCCGGCTTGTCTGGACGTCGTCCCGCAATGCCCGGAAGGCCAACTTCAGCCTGCAGGACTTCCAGCACCGCGGCGGCCAGGAGCCCTACAGCTCCTCCAAGTACGCCATGGACCTGCTGAGCGTGGCTCTCAACAGGAAGCTCAACCAGCGGGTGAGGCGCCTCCGGGGACCTCTCCTGGTAGCATGGCCTCTGTCCCCACTGTGGGTGGAGGGCGCCGTCCTGTGCTTGAGTGGGACTGCATGAGGACAGGCTCGCGGTAGCTGGCTCCGCCCCCCAGCGCCAGGTCCAGCCGCTCCCGCAGCCCTGCGGGGCCACGGTGCTCCAGCAGAGAGGCGCGGACGGACCAGGGGCTCCCGGCACCGTGAGACAGGTCAGAGGCTTCTTGTCCTCCTACAGGCACCCAGGTTTGGAGCAGTTACATCGTTTATGCAGAGGTCACACTCTAGTTAGTGGTGGAGCCTGGGATGGAGCCAGGCTTGTGACCTTGTGTCCTAGACCTGTGCACTGACCCGTCGATCGCCCAGTGTCCACATACGGGTGTCCCTATAGTCAGGCGTAAGGCCTCTGGTGGGCGGTGGTCTCCAGAGGCCCCGGTTCAGGCCGGCTCCTCGCAGAGGGCAGCGCTGTCAGCCACGCCGGCTCCCACGGCCGCTGGTCTGAGACGCTGGTCTGGAAGGTGCTGCACCTTGGGCGTCTCAGGCCTCAGCACACCCAGCCCCCCCCGCGTGCCCCTGTGTCGTGTGGTGCGGGCCTGTAGGTGTAAAGAACTACACGTGCAAGGCCCTGGGCCAGCCTTGGGGTCGAGGAGGGGGAGGAGTCACAAGACGAGAAGGCCCCCGCCTGTGAGGGGGCAGCTCGGGTCCTGTGTTGAACGCAGCCGCTGCTCTGAGCCACGTGTGCCAGTCTGGACCTGTTTGTTCTGGAGCAGACCCTGGGTGGGATGGAGCGTCCGGGCCTCGGAGCCATGGGCTGGGCTGGGCTGGGCGGGGTCCCTGCTCTGCCAGGCACGTGCTCAGTTGGCATGTTGGCGCTCCTGGAACTCAGCCCCCCTCACGTACCCCAGGGCCTGTACTCCAGCGTGGCGTGCCCGGGGACGATGCTGACCAACATGACCTACGGCATCCTGCCCGCCTTCGTGTGGACACTGCTGATGCCGATCATCTGGCTGGTGAGCGCTGGACACTGCTTCACTAAAGCTGTTCGACTGGGGACCAAAAGATGAGCGTGCGGGTTTGGAAATGATTTAAGAAACTGGACGCGGAGGTGTCGAAGCTGAGGTTCTGACGTTCCTGCACGTGCCCTCTGCTCCCTGCTGCCTGGCCCGCCCATGTGCCCGGGGCGGGAGGGACGTCCTGATCCTGCACAGATGGCCGGGAGCCCACGGTCTGTGGCCGGGACCCAGTGTCGAGCAGCATGGAACTGGGTTTCCCCGAGCTTCCGAGGTGGCCGTGGGTAGCAGAAGTTCCCAGGGAGGGGGTGACTGTCCATCTTGGGGCCACAGAACCTGGTCTGCTTTTCCGTTTGCGTTCGAGTGTCCTCCAGCGCACTTAGGAAATGCTGCTTCTAGGAAGTGACCGTCCCTCGTGGAGCCAGAAAGAGCGCTGCTCGCTGTAGAGGTAGAAAGAGCGGGCGCAGGTAGAGGGCAGGACGGACGTCAGTGAGGAGAGCTTGGCGCCGAGTGCTGCAGGTGGAGCGATCTTTAGTTTTTAGACCCCTTTATTTTTTGACGTTTAAAACAGTGCCGGGTAGGAAATGCATTTACCCTTCCGGTTAGCGACCCGCGGCAGACGCCACAGACAGCGCTGTCTCCCCCCCCACAGCTCCGCTTCCTCGTCGACTCCTTCACCCTGACACCCCACAACGGAGCAGAAGCGCTGGTGAGTCACCCGTTCCGAAGCCCGTGCAGGCGCCACAGCTGTCACTGCCGCGTCCCCTGGCGGCAGGACCGCCCTCCACCGAGAGACAGGGCGGCCGAGGGCCCGGTGGCCTCGCGCCCCGCAGCTCCTTCGGGACCTTTCTGTTTCTTTTGGAAACTCGAGGACCCAGCACTCCAGTGCCGACACGTAGCTTCTTAAATCGCGCTGCACCGAAGCCAGCGAAGGGCGCTCCGCGAGCCGGTGTGACGCGCTCGCTCCGGTAAACGCCCACCCGCCGTTTGGTAGGTGTCTGTGCTGCGGACAAAGGCTGGCAGTGGAAGAAAATGCTTCTAAGCTCATTTTAAGTAGTTCTAGGTGCGTTTGCCAAACTGGCGGAAGCACCAAGGGACAGTACAGTCCTCCAGGGCTTCGTCACTGCACGTGCACGATGCAGAGCATCGAGCCTGGAGGTCAGGCGCGCACTTGTCACACAGCAGTGCAGGGGACAGTGCTTAGAGGACAGAGGCTCCATGCGGAGGAGCCTGGTGTGGCGGGGAAACCGACCGACCGACCGCCGGGGTGGGGGTGCTCGGACGCGGGGCCTGGGCTCGGAGGCTCCGCCCACCACGTCGGCTCAGCCGGGGCTGGAGGGCGGGTTGGGCGTGGGTAGGACGGCAGTGTGACCCAGTGTCACAGTGTGCAAGCGTGCCACGACCCTGCTGCATGGGAGCGCACCCCAGTCTCCCTCGGTGGTGGCCGTGATGCTCGTGAAGGACGTGGGTTTGGGGACCGAGACCTCATCCGTCCCCGGCGGGCTGAGCCGTGCGGCCTGCGCGCGGAGCTGGGGTGTGGGCCCCGTGTCACGTGAGGCCGGTCAGATCGCAGCCGTCCAGTCCTGGCCGTGACCCCGAGGGCGCCGTCTTCACTCCTCTGAGCCTTCCTCGTCTGCGAAGCAGGCACCAGGCGTCAGGGAGAGGAGGCTCGTGGAACGGAGTCAGTGTGTGTCAGCACGTGAGCTTTAACAGAAAACGCTCTCTGTGAAAACAGCGTCGTTCCGGCACGGCACGGGGACTACAGCACGTCGGGAATCGGCCGGCGGCGGCACAGGTGGACACGTTGCCGGCAACGGTGGCGTTGTAGTCAGTGGGGGGACGCGTCGCCGAAAGACAGAACCGGCCTCTTCATTCGTGACCCCACAGTGCAGTTCCAGTTAAGTCGCAGTATTTATACGTGAAAGTTAAAGTGCGTAGTCACTAGAAGGAAATATGGAGAAACTGGCTACTCCCAGGAAGCGAGTGAAAGAACAGACTGAAGACTTTGATTCGATAAAGCAAACGGTCTTTGCATGACCCACGCCCTCGCCGTGAGCACACGCAGAGACGAGCCACAGGCCGAAGAGCACCAGCCACCTGTGTCCTGGAAGGTGCAGTGTGATTCATAGGAATTCATTTCCTTAGTGGTTAAGGTGCTTCAGCGAATCGAGGAGAGCAGCGACCTGTGGGGACAGAGGGCAGAGGCGTGAATGGAGCTGGAAACTGTTCGGATTGTGTGGAGCTGTAAACTGTTCGGATTGTGTGGAGTTGTAAACTGTTCGGATTGAGTGGAGCTGTAAACTGTTCGGATTGTGTGGAGCTGTAAACTGTTTGGATTCTGTGCGAGCCCGCTGAGCCTGTTCTCACTGGGAGGAGTGCAGGCCAGGGCCACGAGAGGCTGCTTTGTGACTCTGCTCGGCCGAGACGGTGCGCTGCGCTGGCCGGGGCGTGGAGCTCACGTGAGCACTCGGTGTGCTGGGGCAGGGGGAGGACAGGCACTCAGTGGGCAGTGTCCAGGACTGTGGCGGGGTCGGTGAAGGATGCTGACGGCGCAGACCCTGAGCGCGGCAGTGCCGTCCCTGGGCTCTGTCTTACAGACGCACTCAGACGCACGGGAGACACAGTGTCTCTGAGACGGCACGGACGGGACTCAGCTCTGTCCGTCAGCTGGAAGCTGATCGTGTAGATCGTGTCCTGTCGTGAAGATGCCGCCAGGCCTGTGGTCCAAGCGGACATGCGGGTGGGGCCAGGCCGTGGCGCGCGTGCGCCCGAGGGGGAGGCGCAGACGTGTGTCTTTGGGAGAACAGACTCGTCACGCTGCTTCCGGGGGCCGCGGTGGCCGGAGAGGAAGGAGGGACACCTCCCTCTGCGGCTCCCGGAGGCCGTGCGCGTGCGTGGACAGCGTTCTGCGCTTGGCCATGCGCATGTGCGGGGCAGCTCGGGACGAGCCCATCCACCTGCCGAGAACTTTAATCTGGGGATCGAGAGGACAGACGGCGAACGCACGAGGGCTTGAGGCACTTCGTGCTTTCAGCGGTTTCAAAGGCGGCCGCTAAGCGGGCCGCCCGCCTCCTGCCGCTGAACGCCACAGCTGCCCGCTTCCCTTCCAGGTGTGGCTCTTCCGCCAGAAGCCTGAGTCCCTCGACCCGCTGAGCAAGTACCTGAGCGCCACCTCTGGCTTCGGGAGCACGTACGTGACGGCCCAGCAGGTGAGTCCGTGCCCCGGCCGTCCGCTGGCCTGCGCAGGAACCAGGTCGTCAGGCAGCCGAGTCTGGGCCATTAACACGCGTGGCCCTGGCGTGTCCGCGTGTCCTTGGCCACGTGTCTGGTCACTTCTCCAGGTTCGTGGGCACCGTGCCCCGCAGGGCACTTGCTGGCTCTGCTGTGAGTCACTCGCTTGCTTCAGGGCCCCAGGAGGTTGGAGCCACCCCCCAGCTAGCCTTGGGGGGCTGTCTGCTCACGGGGAGTCGTTAGGCCTGTAAACCTAGGCGCTTCGTCATGGCTTGCGGACCTGCTCACAGACCCGCGTCGGAACAAAGTTTTTCATCTTCTGTCGATTTCCGGGGTCCCTCTCTCCTCTGAGAGGTGCGGCTGGAAGGACGAACTCGCTGAGCCTCCGGCAGCGTGGAAAAGCTAACGTGGCTGGACGGGCATAAACGTTATTTCCAAAATGTTAAAAAGGGGTTTTTTTGTTTTTTGTTTTTTAAATTTTAAACCTTTCAGCTTTGTGAAGAAAGACCCTTTTTTAAAGTTCAGGCTTTGTGTTGACTCAAAGAGTGGTCAGCGTGTTCTGCAGCGGCTGGGGGTTGTACTCACACGGTGTGTCAGTTGAAATCAGATTTTCTTAGCGGACAGAGGAGGTGAAGCACCAGGGTGTTGAGACCCCGCACACGAGGGCACTTCGGGGACACAGCCTTGGGCTGGCAGGGCGCTCTGCACGCCAGTGGCCAAGGTGCCACTGCTGTGCCAGCCCTGGGGCGGGGCTGCTTCTCACGGCTCAGGGAGCAGTGCGGAAGGGGACAGAGGGGCGCCTGGGTGGGGCTGCACCTCCACGTCCCTTGGCTGGCAGAGCGTGGGCACACTGCCCGCCGGCTCAGTGGGGCCAGAGTGCTGTCCTTCGTCGGGGGACAGCCTGGCCAGCACCGGGCCCTTTGGCAGAAGCCGGTGGGTGTCGGGAGGTGGCCAGCAGTTGGAGCTGAGAAAACCCACGGACCGTCCCTGTTTGTCCTTCCTTACGTCGGAGCCGGTCGGCGTGCTCCGTGACGGGGTCCTGGCCGTCTGGATGCAGCAGAACTAGACCTAAGGGACAGTCAGTGGGCTGGGCGCAAGTCGGAGCCTCACTGAGCGGCCTGTGTCCTGGGGCCCGGGTCCCCCGGTACGCACGGCCTCCTCTCTGGCTCTCTTCCAGATGGACCTGGACGAGGACACGGCCGAGCGGTTCTACCACAGCTTGCTGGAGCTGGAAACGCACGTCAAGGCCACCCTCCAGGGCGCAGATGCGCAGAGCTGACGGGGACACTGAGTGCCCTCTGCACTCCGGCACGTGGCTGTGTGCTGTGGCTGCGCCTCCCCTGCCTGCCACCTCCCAGCCTGTCCGTGCTCAGGAGCCGAGAGCAGAGGGCACTGCCTGCCCGCCGTCCCCCGGGGCGGCGTCGCGCCCTCACCGTGGGCGTCCCCACCAGAGCCTCTTTTGGCGCTGGCCTGCCCCTGGAGCCGCCACGCTCTGCGGACAAGGTGTGGCCTGAGCGACCGCACCTCAGGCCCCCGTCCCCCTTGGTCTGTCCTGGCGCGGGGAGGCGGCCCCACTCTGGGTGACATGGTGACTGCTCCCTTCCTGGCCCCGGGTCACAGCCGTGCACCCCATGTCCCATGCACTGCTGCTGCTCCTGCCCTGGGGGTCGGGGTGCTGGCCGTCGGAACAAAGCAGCCCTGCGGCGAGTCCAGGTGAGGACCGGCCTGCGTGTGTGGCCGCTCGGGCTACTTCCTCGTTTCAAAACTGTCTTTTATCGACGTGGAGGCAGCCGGTGTTAGCACTGGTCTGACTTCAACACTATTTGCAGATTCATTACTAACAACCCATTTTCATGGTCATATGTAAATAGGCGTAAACTTGCGGCAAAATGGTGATTCACTCCCTTTCAAAACCTGCGGCTGGGCCACTGCTGGCGGGGAGTCTCCCATTTCAGGGGTCGGGAGAGCTCGCGACTCAGTTTCCGGGGTGTGAACACAAAAGGCAGAAGCACCTGGATGTTTCACTGAGTGCAGCCAGGGTGGGGACTTGTGTGAAACTCGACTGAGTCAATAAAAGTGAAAATGGTCTATAAGTACGACTTCCATACATTTTCTAGGACAAACTTTTTGTTAATATTCCGCTAATTTGGTTGGTAAAGATATTTTTTATGCCTTCCAAGTGTGACGGTGTGGGCTGACCACTGCTGGACACTGTCCGCTGTCAGCGGCGCCCTCCCCTCCCCCTGCCCACCGGGCTGTGACCGGTCCCTTGTCCCTCAGGTGGCCTGCTTGTCTGCCTGCCTCCTCCGTTGGTGGCTGTGGGGGCGGGGGGCGCAGTGCTGAGAAGGGCAGGTGGGGGCGGCGGAAGCAGAAAACGAGCCCTGTCCCCTCCCCCCTGGGGCCCTGGTGTCCGGCGGGGGGGGCAGAGTGTGAGCGACTGGAACCGCACGGTGACCAGACTGTGTGACCAAAGTGCCCAGAAACGCACGGACTCTCCCCACGGTGTCGTGAAGGGACAGGGATGTGGGGGTGACGCGCAGGAAGCCCATCGTTTTCAGCCCCTAATCAGGTCACACACGGTCTAGGCGGCCGTCCTCGGCGTGCTGGAAGCTGAGGTGGACGCGCACAGTGGAGGCCGCAGGAGCACGCGTGCCTGTGAGGGCCGCCCCGTGTGGGCGTCGGGTGACACAGGTCCCATGTCCATGTCGGTGTTGGGTGACGGTGTCTCGTGTCGGTGTCAGGGGACAGGTGTCCCATGTTGGTGTCGGCTGACTCATGTCCCCTTCACGCTCCCAACAGACTCACTCTTGATCGTAGCTGAGTTTCTTGTCCTTTGTCTTTCTGTTTTATATTGAGATGAACATTTTGTGACTTGTCAGTTTCTGCAAACCAGCGGCCTTGGGATGGGGCCCGGGGCGGTCCCTCAGGCAGAGTGGGAAGTGCCCGGCGGCGGGCTGGACAGGCCTCTTGTTCCGGGGTGAGGCTTCCGCCCGCCTCGCACGGCGACCAGCTGGCGGTGGCCTCCGGGCAACAAGTACGCTGGGTGGGGTGCCAGAGTCACCAGAGCAAAGACCACAGGCCGGTCCGAAATGACGGCAGTGTGTCCTCCCGGAGCTCTGGGGCTGGGGGTCTGCGGCCGAGGCGTCGGCGGGACTGTCTGCTCCCGATCCTGCACGGGACCTTCTGGGGCTCCGGACGCTCCCCGGCCTGGGGCAGCCGCTTCCGGTGGCCGCGCCCACAGCGCTCCCTGTCCTCTGAGGCCGTCAGTCCTACCTCGCTGTGACCGCATCTCACTGACCGCGGCTGCCGAGACCCTACTTCTAAGTGCGGTCACCTTCGCAGGTCCCAGGGGCTGGGACGTAGGTTGTTCAGGGCCACGATTCGCCCCATGACGAGGACTTTTAAGAAATCCCGTGGGGCACTTTCTTTTGGGTCAGTGTTACCCAATTTTTATTTCCAGTTTCACAAATAGATAATTTGTACATTTTTAAAATTAAAAACCGCTGTTGCCAGCAGGTTTACTGTGCCCACCACCGGGAGTTACACTGTTTTAATAGCCAAACATCCCCTTAACCTTTCATAAACCTCAGCAACACGAACGTCACTGGAAACGCACCGTCTTCGCGCCCGATTTGCTCGTTTCTGCTTCCGGTGCTCTCATCGGTCCAGCTCCCCGACCTGTCACCGTCACCGCGTCCTCTTC